GTATTCAAACGGATTCAGGGCGGATTCAATTGAGTACGCCCTGAATCCGTTTGAATACGGACCCTTGTGTTTTTTTGAGCTACAGTTTAGTTGGTGAATTCGCAGATTCCTGGCGTTTCTTCTTCAAATCATCTATAGGGTATGCTATAGGGTATTTTTGAAGGTAGTGTTCGGGGTATCCTAAAAGGTATTATAGGGGATATTCTAGAGGGTATATTTGGTATACTTAAGGAACACCGAAGGTACATTACAGAAGCTGTCTTCTGTAAGGTCTTCTACTACATGGTATTCCAGATCGCATTCGACCGGGCATTCTCTAAGGTTTTCTATAGGGTGCTCCATAAAGTGTTGTACAAAAGGTAGTCTATAGCCTATATTTGGGAAGGTATGGTGTAAGGTATGCTGTTCTCTAGGCTATAGGGTATTGTCTAAGGATACAGGAATTTCATAGATTATGGGTACTTTAGTATGAAACTGTAAATATATATGCAGGGGGTTTTTTGTAAGGTATTGATACGGCTATTCTTCTTGGTTCTGGATTCTCTTCATGGGAAATCTTTACCCAATAAGTTACAATTCAACGGGGGGCTTTTCTCAGACCTTGGGCTCCGAATGGTTTTCCATATTTACAACTCCTATCTTCAGTGTGCTCTATAGGGTATTCTGAAGGGGATTCTAAGGGTATCCCATAAGGTATTGTATAGGCTTCCTATATGACATATATTAAGTATCCATGGGGTAAAGGCGGTCTGCTATAAGGTATTCTACAGGGTATTCCAGATGGTATTCTATAAGGTATAATGTAAGCTATATCGGGGAATTGTGTAAAGTACTCTATAAGGTAAGCTGAATGGTATTCTATAGGCTTATACCCAGACCACCGGAAGGATCTAAAAAGTAGATTTCCTAATTTGGGACCCTATACACTGCTAAAGGGGTATTTTAAACGGGCTCCCTTAAGGGAACTATTTTTTCAGATCCTTCCGGTGGTCTGGGTATAGGGTATGTATAGTAAGATTTTATCAGGTATTCAGTTCTATGCGCATGGCGACCAAGAACTGGCAGGACGGCTGCTTCAACTGTTGGCGGCGCCTCAGGGTAATCTGGCCCAGCAGCTGAAAGCGCTGCTCACACAGCATGCTAAGGATCAAAAGGCAAAGCGATGGGGTAACAAGTCCTCGACTTCTATGCCGCCCCAGCCCAAGAAGCAATCTTTCTATGATGCGACAGCATGGCGTAGCTCTGATGTGTCGTGGTATGCCCGTAACAACTCAGATTGGATCGAAAGTTCGGGTGCTGCACAGACTCCCCCTGGGAAGAACAGTGAAACCTCAGGCGTCGGCAACAAGGCTAAACGCTGGTCGCGAAGGAAGGGGCATCATCAACCGGAGGAGGCTGCATGGACTCACCATTTGAGGTCTCTACGCTCTGAAGATTGGGTTGCCCAAAGCGATGCTTCTCTTTATGTGGTTAACTCTCTCGAGGCTTTAGGAGAACAGCTTGATCAAGATGATGACGGACACTATGTGGTCCAGGTCGCGGACATCAATGAGCTTGAACAAGCACTAGAGATGATAGCAAGGACAAAGCAAGCTTGTGCTACAATCCTCGTCCAAGGTCCCGAGCTCTCTGCTGAGAAGGTGCCTGAATCACTCAAGGAGTTCGGTGTTGTAGGCACGTCAGGCCGTGTACCTGGCAAGCTTGGGTCCAAGATAATGTGCCGACCCTGCAATCTGTTTGCCTTTGGGGCACATTGGCCCTTACTGCGCACTAGGTCCAAGGCTGTCGTCTCTCTGAGTTCGGCTTCTACCGAAAGTTGGGTCCTTCGGATCTCTGCTCAGTGGATGTACACCAAGGACGATTGGGCCAATCTTCAGAAGCATCCAGGAAAGTTGGCTCGGCGATGGCTCCATGGGGTTGCGCCTGGAGGAACAGATGTAATCGGTGACACCTGGAAGTGGCAGCAGGCTGGACGCCACACCATCCAAGGTCTGGTGAGGATCCATGATCCACACGTTGCCGCTACCTTACTGCAGGCGTCTGGTAATAGTCACCATGGAGCATGCTTTTTTGTTGATCCGATCGGCACCCCGCCTGATGGCTTCAATGCCCCTCGCGTGATGTGCATGCCGAGGATACTTGGAGCAGCTACATTTGCCGTGCCCGCAGAGAAAGCAGCAACAGTTTGGTAGCTGGCACAAGACAGCTTGGGGTCAGATTGAAAACCACTGACGCGCGATGGCAGCCCACGCCCAAGTTGTGGTCCATCCGATGGCTCCCCAGGGCCTCCACTGCTATGGACCTCGGGGCCTTGTTGTCGGCTCTGAATTTCGTGAAAAATGGGGTCAAGGAGAAGTTTGTTCGTCGGCAGGGAGCCAGCTGGACATTTAGAGCGTTACGCACTGATGATTTAGAAATTGTTCAAGGTGCTTACGAACAAGGTGGACAGGAGGCTTATGTGTATCCTTTACTGAATAAGCTTCGATTTGTTCAAGGCGTTCCTAGATTCCGCATTTCCTTCATCTGAATCCCTTACCCAGTAAACTACCATTCTACAGGGGGACTCTCAGATCTTGGGCTCCTCCTGGTTTTCCCTATATATGAACTAGAAGGTATATATAGGTGTTTCTAGATGGTATTCTAACAGAAGTTCTCTAGGCTATGAATTCCCTTAACATGTGTAAAAAGGGCATTCTGTAAGGTATTCTACAGGTTATTCTCTTTTTTCTTGGCTTCTTTCATGCAACCGCTTGCTCCATAATTTACAAGATCTTGGGATCCTTCTGGTTTCCCCTAGATGAATTTTCACGAGAAACAGTGAGGAGCCTTTAGAAGAACGCGATTTTTTCTTATATGAGTTGAGCGACTACGAAGATAGATGACTGATGCTGCACAGACACAACTTCTCCTACAGCAGACTCGAAAAGCGGCGACACACATTCAGAGGTCGTGCGGGTCAACTGGGGGGCAAGCACCAAAACGTGGGTACATGAGGGGGGGTAGCATATATATATATATGTATATAATATTTTCTAATCTGATGGGCTACGCCTCCTTATACATCGCAGTGTACCTACGTGCGTTCCGGGACCATCTCGAAACGATCAAACACAAAGGCAAATCCAAGCAGAACCCGCCCGTCCTATGTGTGAAGGGTTGTTTTGATCTAGAGTCCATTTGACTGTTTGTAAGGGCTCTTGTATGTGGTTGAAAGAATTGGTGTAACGGCTGCAAAACAACAAAGTCTTCATTACAAGGGTCCGAAGGAGTCTTTGATCCACCAAGGTCGGATCAAAACACGACGAAGGTGCAACATGTCTTGCGGAAGTTTAACAGGTCTTGGGCCGTTCATGCCTGTTGAGAGCAGATGAAATCAACTGTTTTGGATGTACCAGGAACGGCATTGGGGTATCCTCAACTCTGTCAGGTCGACGGGCTTTTCAAAGCTTCACATCCATGGAGGAAGTCGGTTTGTAGGGATCTCGGTTTTCAGAAGTAGTAACACATGAACGTTCGCATCTTGCAGCACCACTCTACATCAGGTAGAGGGTAGGCCGTGAAGGTGTGTTGTGCTCTTAATGCAGAACTGATTCGGAATCAAAGACGTCGCAGATCACGTTTGGCTGAGACACAAAGCATGCACATTCGAAGTTCTCAAGGCCGGCAACATTGAAAGCTTCTGTAGAATATCTTTGGAAGCCTGCCCGGCACTGCAGCAAAACCAAATGCAAACTTTCGCGTGCCATGCTTCCCCTGAGCGTGGTACCCAGCCTTCTCTGTGACGCCCGGAAAGTATTTGAACAAAGCTTTTTTTCGAGCCTGGACAGGTCATGCTGAACGAGGCTCTGGATAGCCTCAAGGCACGGATGGGGTGCCCAGCTTCACACCTGAACCCCAAGCCGGCAAACAACTCTTCGATGCTGACAAGTTATAAGGGCATCGACAAGACAGAAACGGCGTCCAGCCAGAAAAGCCAACACAATGTATTCCCAAGCTTTCAAGAAATCGGTATGTACCGCTCAGACATAGGACTCAATACGATGAAGCAGCTGTTGCGACTTCTGCCCCAACTTCTACTCCTCCTTCTCTTGATGCTGGTTGAACAGACGATGGTGATGCTGAGGGTGGTGATTTTGATTGTGGTGTTGCTGATGATGACCGTTGATGACACTGGTGTTAGTCCTGGTGACAGCGGACTCGGTGGGAAGCTTGGTGCCATTTGTTCTTGGTGTTTGCCGTGCATATGATGACGAGAGGAGGCGGACGGTGCTGATGACAGTACAACTGGGTGACCGTCTAGTTTCCCTGACCTTCTTAACGTGCCGCTTCACGTGATTGGATTTTGCACCTTTCAGGCTTCCCTGGCTTCCCCCTGTTTGTGAGGCCTTCTACGTGGAGAAGCCCAAGGCAAAGAAGTCGCTGCTGCAGAAGCCTTCGGAAGACACCGTCCCTGAGGCCTGGAACTGGCAGGAAGTCAGCTTTGGTGGGTGTCCAGCAGAAGCCCAAATAACTGCTCCGAAATCCTACACCCCCAAAGCACTGCTAAGCCCCAAGCCGTTTGGCTTCGTGATGCACCTCATAAGCTGCTTCAATTCCCTGCATTCCTTCTATTTTCTGGAGTGGCAAACTGGAATGCAAAGCTCCTTGAACCGACCCAGAAGCAGAGCCCCAGCACTTAATTCGGCCACAGGGATTCAAGGACTACCAGAAGAGCAGCAGCGGCAATGCCGTGACCCAGCTCCTGCAGCAGGTGATCCTAGATACGAAGGCCTTTGCGCTTTCAAGGATATTCCTCAGGATCTTCTGAAGGGTTTGTGTGGTGTTAGGGAGTAGTGTAGGGATCCTTGCAAGAAATGGAAGCATTGAGATAGTGGTTAAGTTGTGTGATATGGAAAGTTGTTGTCAATGCTGCATGGTCGCTGTGTAACGGTGTCGCTTCCTCGGTCCTGTCGACAACAGGCATCCCACTTGACCTTTGTATGTTTCAGCATTTCCCAAAACACTAGGTCACGCCCCAAACGGGCATGGTTCGGATTTCGCCAGACCTTCAGCTCACAGATGACGTGATCTAAGCCTCGCTCTGCGGTTTTGTAATTTTTGGGTCGAAGGTATCTAGGCGCTAAAGGTTTTGAGGTCCACTCCTCGAGCTTCAGAATGGAAAGATATAGGCAGCCACGGAGCACAAGATCTTTTTTTGCTTAGTTTTGCCTGTAAGCTTAGATCTCAGAACGGTCGGCCCTAGCGTTTAAGCGGCTTTGGGCTTTGCGGCTGTGTTTTTTCCCGTGGGGGGGGGCTTTGTTTGGGAAGTGCCATGTTTTTTTTAGCGAGTTTTGGGGTTCGAGGCCATGGAGGCCGAAACGACTCGCGCCATGAAATCTTCGGAGAAGCAGTTCGCAAAGCTGACTGATGTGACTTGGCTTCATTCGGAGGGTTGTGTCCATGTTGATTGAACCCCTTGAACGAGCCATCCTCCTGTTTGGGAAAGGAAAGAGCTGAGACATGTCACCTACAGAATGGAATAATCAAAAATGAATACTCCGAAGGTTAATAGGAACTGGCAACGATCTCCTTGCCAGTGCCAAGCTTGCTTTCAACAACGTTCCGACCCTTCGGCAAGATTAAAAGTAGCTTCTTCGTAAGTTTTTGGAAGTTGCAAATGGGGCGAACACAAATTCTAATGCAGCAGCTTGACTGGGCTTGTTGACTCGAGGCCACGAACGCGGACATCGCGGCCCTGAACGGCGAGCTGGAGAGCCTGGCGAAGGCGAAGGCAGCCAGGGCCGCAAGGGTGTTTGAGTATGCCCGGTGTTTCTGAAAACCTTCCGGCATCGGCAAGCAGAAGCAATGAGCCACCCTACCAGGCCAGCGCCCAGGAGGCGGTGGTCGCAGAGAAAGCGAACCTGAAGGGCACCAAGAAGGACTGTCTTTAGCGGCACAGGCTTCGGGCGTGAGGCTTTGCATTGTTTCTGCACATAGCAATACAGGTTTGATTGTTCTTACGACTTTTTGATTAGCCGGTGCTCGTGGCTGCTGTGGATGTCAGTGCTGTGGGTTGTGCTTGGCGTTTGCTATGTTCCAAAGAATTCCTTGCTTGTGGCTGCGACTGTTGTTCACGAGGCTAATGCCGATTCGGCCATGCATGATCACCACTTTTGCTCACTACAGTCAGTGAGCCCACTTCAGAGCCCGACTTATGGGGAGACCTCACATTTCGCGTGGGACAGGAGCTCGCAGATCTGGCCCTGGACGAGGCGGAGGGGTGGAGACACAGCTTCGGAATTTGACCCACCATTGAGTTTGCTCTTTCGAGGAATGCTCAGGCATGGAACCTTAGAGCCGGCTTTCGAGCTTCAAAAGCCCAAAGTCTTAAGCTTCAACACAACTTCAACCCTTGAAGCCACTTCAGCAGTTGCGCGACACCGCTCGAAGGTTCGGGGATCTGCGACGGGTTCCAGAAGCGGTTTCGATCGTTTTGATGTAGAAAAAGGGACTCCGAAACGGCAAGCAGTCAATTAAAATGATGAGTCCTCAAAATCCAACACAGACAACATCAGAAGCCTCCAAACAGCATTCATTCGGAAGGTGACGAAGCCCTCAATCCCAAGAAGTGGTTGCTCCTTTGACCCGAGAACCCGGAATCCGGCTTCGAAACCCCCGAGCTGTTTCAAGATCTCGCATCTCGCCTGAGCAAGTAGCCGCTTGCAAGGCGAATCTCCACGAAAGCCTGGTGACCCAGAGGGGTCTTTGGACTGTTTGTGACGCCTCTTCATACTGACACAGCTGCAACGGCTGCATGTTTACTGTTACAGCAACGGCAGCAAAAACTGCTTCAGCAATAACAAGCGCGACCTCCACTGTCAACACGACCACAACTGCTACTGCCTCCACACACACACGCACACCTCACCGTCAACGATCCGCCGACATATGACTAGTTTGATATCTTGTTTTTGCTACCACTATCCGCCACTGTCCAGGCTGCTACTGCTGATACTGCACATATTTCATAGAAGAGTCCTGGTTCTAGACGAGTGGCTTCTGCGATGTTTAGTCATCGCAGTCCACCATAGGAATAGTTGAGGGTCGATGTGGGCTGAGCATATATGTTTCACCTGGCTTGGCGCAGGCCTCATTGGCACGTGTCAACACAATGTAGAGAACAACTCTTCGGGAGACACATTTTCAAGCTGATCTAGGCCTCCGTGCTGGCAAGCAAGAGGGCTTGTGGTCACTGCGGCCAACCGTTCTAATGAATGGGCAGCCCCAGTTAAGCAGAAGTCCAACATCAATTTTACGTTCCTCTTTGTTGAAGCTAAGACCCTTGCCTTGAGCCATGAGATCGATACCCAATCTTCCAATCTTCAACCCCAGCCTGCGACTTTGTCCTCAAGAACTTTGAGCTTCGGCAGACTGCGCGCAACGAGGAGGTCGAGGTGAGGATCACGAGAGGGCTATCCTGCATCTAATGAATTGAGTTTTTAGTGTAGTAAGTCATCGCAAATGCAGGTACCTTCAAGCAAGCGCTGAACTTCAACGCTCCCGTATCAATATTGTTGAATAGTACCCTTGAAAAACTAGACTTTAGTTTTGGGCATTTGTAGCAAGCAAGTACCCTTTGTTTGCATGGTCTAGTCTATACTTGGCAAGCAGTGTCTGGGGCCTTCCCAATCAGTGCAAAACCCTTGAACTTCATGCCGGCCTCGGTTTTCAGGGGCTGATGAAAGCCAAGTCCTACCTCCGTGGCGCCTCCTTTTTGCAGCTGCGCCGCTGAGCTTTCCGAGGCGGATGTTTCTCCAGGTCTTGACCTTGAACCCTCAACCGTGGCTTGTTCTTTGCTGATGGCTGCACTGTTGATGTCACTCTTGTCCCGTCCATATGATGTTGCAATGAGAATAGTGCCGATGTCTCCTTCCTTCCCCGGTTAGTATTGTGAGATTGCTTACGGCTCTTGTTTAGTTTTGTTGTATTCCTTCTCATGCATTTTTATTGAGATGAGTTGCGTCTCATGGTCCTTTTCTAGACTCTAGACGCCCCCACTAGCAAACCGTACCCGACATGAATGTCTCCATCCTTGCCGTTGTAGCTCTGACCGCTTGAGTGTACATTTTCAGAGAATGTGCATTAAATTATTGTGCTTACTGCTACTGCCTTAGTCTTTTCGAAACGTATTTAATATGATTGCTGCAGTACTCAATCAATATTGTTCTCGCAAGAGTCAACTTCGTGTCCCTGTGACAATTGTCCTGTCACTGCAAGCCTGCAGGTTCCACCGCATGTGAACACACTGCGACAAAGCGAATGCCTTGTTGGGTTTTGAATTCAAGCTTCGGAGGAACTGAATCAATATTTCAGAGTTCGGTATTTGTGACATCACCCCAAAGGTCTTGGCTTTTGCTTGGGACATTACTCATTATACAGATACGGATTACAATAGAGTAAAGAATAAAGTTCAAAAGGTAAAGTTTCAGAAGCATCTACGACATGAAAAATAGTATTCGGTTGAGATTTTCAAGATGATTTAGATATTTGCGATCTGATTCAATTCTAAATCTTCTGACTAGTTGTATTTCAATTTTGAGCCTGGTGTGCTTTATATAGTGATATACTAGGTTAGGCGCAGTTCCATGCTCTTTAATGTTTGTCTTGGGTATATTTGTTCTATTGTGTTTGGTGGCTGTTTTAGGTGGGGCGTATTTGATGGGGTGTGGTTTGATAAGCGCGGCTCTATTTTGGACTGGTCTCGTTGTTTCTATCACAAGCAGGAATCGATGTGAATTTTTTAATCATTATAACAATATCACGAGAAAACATAAAGAAACATTTAAAAATATATATCTTAGATACGAGTCTTTTTGAGCATCCAATGTAAAATTTAAGATGTCTGAACTAGCTTTGTTTGCCTATCTGCTAAAACTGCTGTACTTGTAATTATAAGAGTAGGGTAGTCGTGGAATATTAGATGCGGTCAGAATTCTCGAAAAGAGATCGGATCCCCTAGAAATCAAACGTCTATATTTTTTCTTCAAATGGTTTGCGCTTCCGCCGGGTTCGGCTATGCGTAGGACGGCTGCCGGTACGACAGTACGAAAATCCACGGATTTTGGGATCGTTGGCAAGCCTGCAGTTACCTGCCTTTCAATTACAGACGAATCTCTCGTATGAAACCTAGAACATCCTAGGATTCTGAAGGTTTCGTACTAGACGCGCTACTTAGTACGACACCCTCAAATCCCGTGGATTCCGGTGTCTCCTGCTGCACGAAACTCCGGAATTCGCGGGAAATGTATGATTTCGTACCACACCAAAATCCCCGGGAATTCCGTGTTTCGTACCACGATATGTCCGGTCAAGTTTGTTTTGTATTGCAGCCTTCACTTCAGCACGCCGCTCGACAAAGCATTGAATATCATCGACGTTCAATACTATAGTGTCTGAATGATTGGACACTCTGTACATGCCACGCATTCCGATACTTTAGCATGGAGAAGTACTTTGAGGACTGACCGTGTCTGTCGCACAGTCGCGTGGACCCACCAGACATTGCAGCTACAGACCGGAACGGAGTGGCGGGCGGGGACGTGTGCGTCGTGGGCGTAGAGGTCGGACGGAGTGTCGTGGAGTGGTGGGTGTGACGCGGCGTGGCTGGGGCGCGAGGCGAATTATGGTGAGTGTCGGAGGGATGGGCGAGGGCTTGTATGTCATGCACATTCGTGGGGAGTGTCGTGGAGTGGCGGGCACGGGTCGAGGGGATCCGAGGGCGTATATGAATTGAGAGGCGTCTCGTGGAGTCGCGGGTGGATGCGCGTGTTTCGGGAGTGGAGTGGTGGGCATGGGCAGATCGTGTCGTGGGGGGGAGGCAGTGACGGGTGAGAGAGTGCCGCTGAGTGGTGGGATGATGAAGGCGTGTCTATTAGGAGGAAAGTCGTGTGGCGGCAGGGAGCTCGTCTAAATTATAGGCGGTGGGACAAGGGCGGCTCGAGGTAAATATCGTGGAGTGTTCATCGGCGTGGGTCGATGGGGAGTTTCGTCCAGATCTTGGAGGAGCGTTTTAAGAATCGTGGGATTGGTCGAAAGGTCGTAGGGGGGGGGGTTGGCGTCGGTCTTTATACGCGTCGAACACGTCGTTGAATTGGGGATATAATTCGCAAGTTTTTTGAAAATGGATAAAGATGTGTCGAAAGAAAAGAAATTAGAAAAATGATAGGTCAAAAAATATGAAATATGGATATTATATTCGTCGACAAAAAGATTGAAAAGATTAGCTTAATTTTTACTATATTATAAAACTTAAATTTTTTATTTTAGAATATATAATTGGTTGGAATATGGATTTTATGTATGGAGGACGTATTTTGTTAATTATATTTCGAGATTATCGAAAAATAAGGATTTTTGAATATGATATTATTTGAATGTAATAATATAGAGCTATTAAATTTATATATAAATATATAATTTGCTAAATATTTTTTCTTTTTTTGATTTATTTAATTTTTTTTATATAATTGATTATTATATAATTGAAATTGAAATTATATAGAAAAATTAAGAAATCTTTTTATGAGGTTGAAGTCGAGAGAGGGATAGGAATCCAAAATATATTAGATAATTTTCTAGATATATGAAGGGGTATATGGGCTCTTGCAAAAAAATTATTTGGAATTGCCGGGTCGTTCTATGAGATTTTCTCTGTTCGATTAGTGATTTTGTTTGTGTAGGTCTTCGATAGAGAAGGAAAGGTTGGTGGGCGGTCTGAATTTTAAAATTTGTGGGTTTATAGAATGAAAGACGATTTCTCGTAGATAAGAATTTAATTTGAAAGTGGGTCGCGGACCCTCTTCGCGGGATTTTTTTTTTAGAGAGGCTCATATGAAATTATTTTAATTATTTATACGAAATCATTAATATAAATATGTAATTTGGATTTATCTGATTTGAAGCGATTTTTGAATAAATTATAAAATAAGAATGAATATTTAATAGAATATATTATAATTTTTTATTGTATTATGATTCTGAATATTAATTTTGCTAATTATAATTAATAATTGTTATTATATTATAATTATAATATAAATTAAAAATGAATATAAAAATTTCAATTTTATAAATAAACGAAAAATGAATTATCGATTCTAAGCAAATTATAAAATTAATAATTTAATAAATAGATATTGAATGCCAAAAAAATTATAAAGTCAAAATAGAAAGTAGATCTATAATTAAATAAATATATATATATAGAAAAAGTAATAAATAAAATAATTAATTGAGAAATCGAAAAATTGATTTGGAATCTTCGAATCTTGAAAGATTTTAGTCGAATTTTTAATTATAAAATATTCCATTTAAAAAAAATTGGAAAATAACCACAAAGAATTAAAATAAATCAAAAATTAAATTTCAAATTAGATATTATAGATTAAATTCGAAAATTATCGAATCGAGAATTTAATTATAAAATTAATATTTCTATGAAAAAATGAAATCTAAATCAAAATATTATTTCGCATCGAAAATGAAATTATAAATAAAATAATTCAATGAAAAATCGAAAATTGAATAAGTTAGAATAAATATTCTTTTCTTTTCTTATAAATTATATATTAATATCTCTTCTACTAGTATCTCTTCTCTATTTGCTATTTTCTCATATATTCAAATCATATCTTTGATTTATTTCTTTGATGTCGATTATTTATATTCTATCTGTCATATCTCT